AAAAAAAAAAAAAACAAAGAGAAAAGGATGTGTGCACACACACATATACAAAATGCACTGTTTATTATAAATTTTACTGATGTAGAAAGAAGGGGAGCATATAATTTACAAATAATAGCATATATAATTTTCTTCATTGTAAATTCCATATAGTCAGTCAGTAAGGGCAGAATGCTTCTTTGATTTCTGCTCAACTCTTAAGATTCATAGTTCAACGTATGGTTGCTTTCGTGAATGAGTGCAGTTCTGACTTGAATGTTGGTTGATGTTTTCATGTTAAGGACTAAACTACAGCGAAACAACAAAGACATTATTTCAGAACTTCACTTGCCTCTCAAAGCCTAGAGGGACTTCTTTGCTGAATCGGATAATAATTTTTGAATACTGGAGAATATTTCAATGTTTGTGCTAGTCACCGTATAATGGCTATAGAAACAGCACACTTTTAAGTTTAATCTGCATTAGCGACACTTTTTCCACTTTCTGATGTCTAGACAGTCAACAGAACAATCAATCAAGCCCTGATTTGTAGCGCTTGCTGATTTCCATGGTATAAATACTCCCACCATGGCTGATTTTTTTTTTTTTTTTTAAGACAGAGCCTCAAAATGTCCCCCGGGGTAGAGTGCTGTAGCATCACAGCTCACAGCAACCTCCAACTCCTGTGCTCAAGGGAGTCTTCTGCCTCCGCCTCCCAAGTAGCTGGGACCACAGGCACCTGCCACAATGCCCAGGTATTTTTTGGTTGCAGTTATCATAGTTGTTTGGTGGGCCCAGGCTGGATTTGAACCTGCCACCTTAGCTGTATGTGGCTGGTGCCTTAGCCACTCGAGCCACAGGTGCTGAGCCACCATGGCTGATTTTAAGCTTCTGATGTGATGTCACTGACCATGGAGCAGAAGAGATACACAGTGGCATGACCACCCAGGATTTCCGCCACATGGATACAATTCTAGGTGACCAACTGTCCCAGTCTGCCTAAGCCTGTTTTGATTTCAGCACTGAGGAAATCTTAGTCCTGAGCACACAGGGACAGTTGCTTGTCTTATGATAGACATAAGTAACCCCCAGGTCTAGATAATAGTGAAATACAGTGAAAGAACTACAAAGTTTTTTTTTTTTTTTTT